AGGAGTGTGAGGAAACTAAATTACCCTTTCAGGTCAATTGGTGCATTTTTTTCTACCATTTAACCATTTTTAATTATTCAATTCAGTGACATTAATTGCATTCACAGTGCAGCTATAAACTCTCATAACCACTTTTCATTTTCAGAACTTTTTCATAATCCCAAACAGAAACTCTGTAACTCTTAAGCAGTAACTTCCCATCCTCTCCTCCCCAAGGTGGTAACAACCACTCTACTTTCTTTCTCTATGAATTAGTTTATTCTAGATATTTAATATAAGTGGAATTCTAGAATATTTGTACTTTTGTGTCTAGCTTTACTTAATAAAATATTTTTTTTAGCAAAATATTTTTAAGGCTTATTCATAGTGTAGCACGTATCCAAATATTATTCCTTTTTATGGCTGAATATTGTGTATACGTGTGTATGTGTATACTCCACAATTTGTTTATCCATTCATCTGTTGATAGACACTTGAGTCGTTTCCCCCTTTTAGCTGTTATGAATAATTCTGTGAATGTTGGTGTACAAGTTTGAATCCTTGCTTTCAGCATACCTTAGAATGAAACTGCTATATTAATATGGTAATTCTAAGTTTAACTTTATGAGGAGTCACCAAACTATTTTTCATAGCAACTGCATCAGCATTTACATTTTTATCAGTAGCGCACAAGGGTTCCAATCTTTACACATCCATACCAACACCTTCTGTTTTTTTTAATAATCGCTGTCCTAACTAATATGAAGTAGAATCAATACATCTCCTTAATTACCTCTTAGTTTATAAGACTACATGAGTCAGTTGGTGTGTCTTCTTAACACACTTAACCTTTTTTTATTTTCCTTCCTTGAGATGGAGTCTCGCTCTGTCACCATGGCTGGACTGCAGTGGCATGATCTCAGCTCACTGCAGCCTCCACCTCCCAGACTCAAGTGATCCACTTACCTCAGCCTCCTGAGTAGCTGGGACTACAGGTGTGAGCCACCACTCCCTGCCCAAGCTTAACCTTTGTAAATAAAATCTTTTAAAATAGCACTGATGGTGATATCACTTCCAGATTGGGTTGTTTTCTCCTCCAAATAATATCACTGACTAGAATAATTACCTTTGTTCTATACAATAATTAAAATGGCAGTTTTGAATTAAAATGGTAGTCTATAAAGGTTTTAGGCTTGTTTTAGTGTTTGACTTCTTATATAGCAATGGAAAGAATATAAAATAGAGTTAAAATGATAAATTGATGTAACTGATTGTTAAAATCAAAAATTGCCAAATTCTAATAAAAGTAAATTGAGTTACCCCAGCTGTTGCCTGGAGATTGAGAGGTAAAAGTAACTACAATAATTTGACTTAAAACAGTGTTTTTCAAACTTTAAAGTGAAGAAGGTTCATGTGGTAATTTTGATAAAATATAGATTCTAATCTAATCTCATGAAACCTGTTCTTCTGCATGTCTAAAAAGCTGCTCAGTAATGGCCAGGAATACACCTTTGAGTAACAATAATTTGAAATATTAATGAGTATAAAACATAATTGAATAAAATGTTTTAAAGCTCTGAAGACTTGCAAATCTAAGTTATAAATATAAATCTATTTAGAACTTTTCAAATGTAAATGACTACTGATTTAAAAAAAAAAAAAAAACTGGTCTAGAAGATGGCCGATTAGCAGCAGCTCAGGATTGCAGCTCCCAGTGAAGGTGCAAGGAGTGAGTGGACACCAGACTTCCAGATGAATTTTTGTTGCCCATGGACCAGGAGATTCCCAGCAGAGGAGACCCACGGGTCGCCAGTGTGACTCTTTTGGCTGGCGCGGCTGTTTGCCGGTGTCCCGGCACGGCAGTTCTCAGTGTGGAGTATGCAGGACTGGGTGCCCTATTAGTTGGCATTTGGAGCTCTAGGAAGGCAGAGTCGCCCATTCAGCTGATTGAAAAGGGGACTGAAGCGGGGAGCCAGACCGGGAGATTCCCGGGCAGAAAAGTGCCACGAATCTCAACACCACTGTTTCAGCCTGCTTGGTCGCTGCCTGGGAAATTGCATAGATCCCGGCACCTTTTCAGAGGGCAACTGGGGCACCTGGGAGAGAATCCACTGTTCAGTTAGGGGAAAAAAAGGGGGCTCCGAGGCGGGGAGCCAGGTGATCAGGCTCGGCTGGTCCCACCGCCACAAAAAACAGCAATTGGAAACGCTGACGGTTGAGAGTTTCACAGCAAGCACAGCTGAACCCGGGAAGGTCCAGGTCTGTGGGGGAGGGGTGTTGCCCAAAGGAAAACAAAGAAACAGAAATAACATCATCACCAACAAGCTGGACGCCCACTCAGAGACCCATTCTCAAAGTCAGCAATTACAAAGACCACAGGTGGGTAAATCCACAGAGATGGGAAGAAACCGGCACAAAAAGGCTGAAAATATCCAAAATCAGAATGCCTCTTCTCCTTCAGGGGATCGCAGCTCCTCATCAGCAAGGGAACAAGGCCTGGTGGAGAATGAGTGTGATGAATTGTCAGAATCAGGCTTCAGAAGATGGATAATAAGAAACTTCAGTGAGCTAAAAGAACATGTACTAACCCAATGCAAAGAAACTAAAAACCTTGAAAAAAGGTTTGACGAAATGCTAACGAGAATAGACAATTTAGAGAGGAATATATGTGAATTATTGGAGCTGAAAAACACAATACGAGAACTTCGTGAAGTATGCACAAGTTTTAACAGCCGAATTGACCAAGCAGAAGAAAGGATATC